GCCAGGTTGGTCATGAGAGACACAGTGATGGGACCCTAGTGGACTCTCAGTAAACATGCGTTGGTTAGAATGACAATACTCCCTCACAAAGGGCTTTAAGGCAGGGAGAAGTCTCAGGCAGGTGCAGGACACACTCACATCTCATCCAACGGCGAGAGGGAGGAACCAGATAAAAGTGCAGAGAGCAGGGGACGAGACACCCATGGCTGAGCACATGAAGGTCATCATATGCCCTCCATTGCGTCCTTGTTATTTTGTGCTTCTTGAATTTGGGAGGGACACATAAAAATTAGCTGGGGGATACACGCAGCTGGAGGTGTAGCTGCTATGCAGTGCAGAAGTGATCTCCCGAGATGAGGACACAGAGCTGCCTCCTACTCCTTAGGCAGATGTGATTCAACCTAAAGCAAATGATGATAAAACCCTGGCAAAAATATCTTCTTGTGGTGGCTGACTTGCCTCACCCAGCCCATGAAGCCACGGAACTCGGATTCATGGACACAGGAGGCCATGGACCTGAGTAGTGAGGATCAGAAGGGAGAAAGCGCCACCACTGGGTTCCTAATTGCTATTAAGGTGAATTTTTCTTCAGGATGTATTGATTCTCAGTTTCAATTGTTAGTGAGTGTAAATTTGATTAATGCACTTCTATACTGCTGCCCCAATATGTTTGGATGTCACTGTTAATGTGTAATTTGTAAGGAAATAGTAATTATTTTATTTAGGATTAAAGAAGAAAAACGTCACAGAGAGGCTAGACCCAGAGTTCTGAAAGCACAACCGAGCAGTTACTTGTGCATCCGCCCCTCGAGCAGAACGTTTGTAGCACCCCACCACGCGCCTTACGCGATAGCCGTCACCGGGAGGCGTGACTGCGCCCCCGGGTGGGCGCTGCTCCCCAGGACGCAGGGAGACGTCCACCGAGGACGGAAGGGCATCGCGTCCTCCCAAGCTCGGCTTCTCAGGGGTTTCACAGTTGCCCCATGCGCGCTCTGCGCGCGCCGTGCTGTGTTCTGCCGCTCCGCCTGGAAGTGGCCAAGTTCAGGCAGCCGTTCGGGGCGGCCCCGCCGCCGCTCCCGCCCACCGCCCGCCGTGAGCGGGCTGCGTCCCGCTTCGCGCGGACAGTTGGGCGCGGCGGCCTCTGCGCGGCGCCGGCGGGAGTGCCCCCCGCGTCGCCCCCGCGGTCTGAGCCCCTCGTTGTTCCCGGCAGATGTCGCCGCATC